TACCTCCCGCCCCCACCCTTCACAGCTGCCACACTCCACCAGTGCCAGCCCAGCCATGATGATCACCAGGGTGACCTGATCGCTGAACTCAGTAATTCCTGAGCCGGAGCTCCGCGCACCCCCACACCCTGGAGCTACGGGCCTCACCGCCTGCTTTCAGGTGCTGTGAAGAGCCCAAGGCAAGGTTGGAAAGGCTCTTCAGGGAAGCCTTTGGAGGGGGCGAGGCAATACTGAAGCCTGAACTCAGGGCCTGGGTGCTAATCCCTTAGTTTGTTTTTGTTTACACTGAAGTCTGATGCCCTGCCACTTGAGCCACAGTTCCACTCCTGGCTTTCTAATGGTTAATTTAATATAAGAGTCTAACAGACTTTCCTGCCCTGGCTAGCTCTGATGCCATGATCCTCAGATCTCAGCCCCCTGAGTAGCTGGGATTACAGCTGTAGCTTTTTCACTCAAGGCTAGCACTCTATTACTTAAGCCACACCTCTACCTTGTTTGTGTTTTGTTTTGTTTTGTTGTTGGTTAAGTGGAGGTAAGAGTGTCACAGATTTTCCTGCCCAAGCTTCAAACAGTGATCCCAAATCTCAGCCTCCTGCGTAGCTGGGTCCTCACTGCAGGCCTGAGCCCCGGGTGCCTAGCTTGGGGAACCTTCCCAGCGGCCTCAGGATCCAGAGTCTCCCCAACCCCACAGCCTCACGCATGAGCTGGCCCTGTCAGCGAGGCTACGAGGCCACCCCTCGGCCTGAGCAACGCTGAGGCCTCTGGGCAAACCCAGCTCCCTGGCTTTGGGCAGTGGCTTTCCCACCACAGGGAGGAGGCGGGCGGTAGGTGTGCGACTGGGCGGGTCCAGGGACATGGAAGGGGAGGCAGGCGCCCGGGCCTCACTCCCCAGGCACTGGTACAGGCTCTGGGGGCGAGGAGGTGGGACATAGTCACGTCAGGTGTGGGAGTGGAGGGAGGCCAGGCTGGGGAGCTGCAGGCGCCAACCCTGGCTTCCACGGACCTGCACAAACAAGCCCTTCGCTGCTCACGGGCGGCCGGGAGCAGAGGCCCAGCCAGGGTGGGCACCGCCAGCCTGGCCCCTTGGGACTACAAGCAGGGGACCCGCCTGGGTGGGGAGGAATGGGTGAAAGTTTGCTCACTTAAGTTTCTAAGTAAATATAAGACAGTTCTCTTCTAGTATAAGAAATGCCTCAGAGCTCTGAACGAGAAAAACTTGAATTTCCAACAACAGTCAGAGCAAAAACTTCAGCACAGAAGACACTTGGAAGCCGGAACTTTAGGCAGAATTAGGGATCGCCGGGAGAGGCAGAGAACTCTGTAAGGAGGGAGGGAAGAGCCCTGGGAACGGGACACGGGTGAGAGCAAAGGCAGCCTTAAATACAAGCACCCCAGAGCTCAGTCACAGCACTGGAGGAGCAGATGCAGCAAAGAACTTCACTCTTAGCAAAGATCCTTTGTCCCACAGCGAGGCTCAGGGCAGACTCTCTGCCACAGGAAGCACAGTTTGGGGTAAGTAGGAGAACACTGCAGGGCTGAGAAAAGGGAAGTGTCTGTCAGAAGTGATTTAATATTCCCACCTGTCCATCATTCCAGGCCCCGCCCACTCATTCATCCAGTACCCACCCATCCTTCTCTTTGCATGTCCATCTGTCCATCTTTCTACCTTTTGCCCTATCCATCCATCTATCCACCCACCTACCCATCATCTGTCTATCCATCTGTCCATCCATCTGTCCATTTACTTCACCTACCCACACATCTTTCCATTCATATAGCCATCTATCCATCTTTCTACTTACCACTCTACCTATTCATCTGTCCACCTATGCACCTACCCCTCCTCCATCCACCCATACCCACCTCCCACATGTACCATTTATTACTCATCCATCCACCCACCCATCCATCCACCCATCCATCCATCCATCCACCCATCCACCCATCCATCCACCCATCCATCCATCCACCCACCCATCCACCATCCATCCATCCACCCATCCACCCACCCA